TATTAAGATTTTCTTGTTTGTCATTCTCATTTAAATCAACATTAAATGTTCGTTGGAAATGATTTAAAAATATGGGTGTTATTTGTTTTACAGTTATTGTTTGTTTAGAAGATACTTCATCAGTTAATGATGTTATTTGTCGTCGATCAAATCCACATGGTATAATATGATCAAACCAATTCATATTAACTGAACAATTAATTGATATACCATGAGATGTTATACCACGTGAATAACGTATACCCATAAAAGCAACTTTTCGTTGATTATCTATCCATGCTCCAGCATAATTTACTGTTTGTCCATTTTTAATTCCTGAATAAACTCTTGTTTGACCAACAATTTCTCCACAAGTATCAACTAATGTTTGTTCAAGACGGCTAATATACGTCCGAAGTGTTAATCGAAGCAGTGGATGTTGTAGTGGAAGAATAGGATAAGCAACAAATTGACCTGGTCCATGAAATGTTAAAAGACCACCACGATCAGTTTCATGAAAATGTGCACCAAGTGAACGAAGTCGTTCAATATCAGCTGAAGTAACAATTGATGAGGAACGACGAAGACCACATGTATAAACAGGTTGAAATTCAAAAAGTAATAAAACAGGATTACCATTTCCCATTGCTAAACGTTGAATATAATGAGATTGAAGTGATTGACCATAAGCATATGAAATTAATTTTTTATATTGTATTAATTCAATTAGAAGTCGTTGATGATGCATTATTACAAATAAAATATCTTTAATGAGATAATATTTTATAAATACATTAATCTAAATATCTAAAAAGTATCTTATAAAAAGAAAAGAAAATAGTGTTACTAAGGAATAGTTTACTTTTTTTTCGTTCGATTCAAATTTCAATGATAAATATTGAACAAGAAAAATCAATTAATCAACAAATAAAGAAGAAATCTTTAGCACAAAAATATTTTCTCTGGTTACAACCATGTGAAATATGGTGTTTATTGCGTAAGAAAACGCAATTTAATTCAACAATTTATGATTGTATTCAATCAGGATTAGAAAATCCTGATGCAATCTGTGGTCTATACGCAACTGATGGAGACTGTTACGAATTATTTCGTTGTCTATTTTGGCCAGTTATTATGGATTATCATAAAATTGATATTCGAAATTTAATATTCAAACATGATTTTGGTGATTATCATGATATACAAGATTTATCATCAGAAATAAATCAACAAATTTTATCGATACGTATTCGTATTGATCGCTCTATTCAACATTATCCAATGATACCTAAATTAACTGTTGATCAGTTATTAGAAATTGAAGAACGTGTAAGAACTACACTTGAACATTTAGATGATGATTTGCAGGGTGATTATCATTCACTTAAAGATCTTAATGAAATGGATCAAATTAAACTACGAGAAAGATCTATTCTTTTTCAAGTTTGAATTATCTTGAATAACTAATATACTGATTTATCTATTTATAGGAACCAATAGATCGTTATTTAGAAAGTGCAGGAGTATATAATCATTGGCCAAATGGTAAGTTACCGTTAATTTTTCTTAAGAATTTTTACAGTTTGAAAGTATATTATTAGGTCGTGGATTTTCTATCAATAAAGATGAAAATTTTATAATTTGGGTTAATGAAGAAGATCATCTAAGTTTTATTGCTCAATCAAATGATAGTAAAATGAATGAGACTTATGAACGAATGATACGTGCTATAAATCAAATACATCAAGCATTTGAATTTCAACAACATCAACGTTTAGGTTATTTAAATTTTTCTCCATTAAATATTGGAACAGCATTACAAGTTAATGTTCATATAAAATTAAACCATACAGAAAAACTTGATGAATTGATTGAATTTAGTAAAAAATATGATATTCATTTAGAAAATACAAATGAAAAAAATATTTTTAATTTATCAAATATTATACGATTAGGACGAACTGAATTTCATATTATTCGTAGTATGTGGAATGGTATTCAACAAATCATTGAACAAGATATAAATCAAAACATAAACTAAATCTTTTATTTATCAGTAATACATACAGAAAACTTTAATAATAACTATTTCGATATTTCATCATATGGGTTTTCAAATTTATATTTTTGACGTACTTCATTAAAAATACGTTGAGTATCTATAGGACTATCAGCATTCCAAGTTTTAATCCAACGTGTTTGATATTTTGGTTCTCGTAAAATATCATATTGTGATGGAGCATGACTTTTACCTGGCCCATGTTGTTCCATTACTAATTGTGTACGTAAACGTTGATCGATGCGACGGGAATAAAGACCAACTTCTTTTAAAGCAAATGGCTAAAATATAAGACATTATAAATGATATAACAATAAATGATTAATATACACATACATGTCTATGTGGTCCCCATATACGATACCAATAGTTACGTGAAACAGGCATCTTTTTTAATGTAAATCTACAGATAAATAAATAGGATTTATATTGTACACGAATAAACTAGGCTATATGTCTGTGTTTGTGCATGTAACTATTGATTGGAGTGCAATATTTACAAGAAATACATCGATTAATAGATGTCACCTATTGACATGAAATGTTATTCGATTTTGTAATAGCAGCAATAATCTGAATTATTTTAACCCTTCCACTATATCTTTAATATGATCTATGAGGAAGATTATAACAAATGCGACAGGTTTGCACTGTTGTATTGATAAAACGTACTGTAGAAAAAATTTGTTTATGTCATCCTTTACTAATAGTTTATTTTTGACTCATGTCGTATCAAAGAACGATGTTATCATGTTTTGAGTGAATAAGTTTCTTTAAATTATCCTTTTTGCAAATCAGATATCTTAATGAAAAAAAGATGAAAAAAAATTTAAATTTAAAAACTGTTTTGACCTATTATTTTATTAATGCAAAAAAATATACTTTCTAGAAATGGGTCAAAAATGACTCACTACGTGGTTAAGAGTTAAGGAGTAAATATTATTCTAATGATAAAACGATGTCACATTTCAACTATAAAATTTTATTACATAGTAATCTTAACAACACTTTTTCCAATTTATTTATTTATTTTGTCTTTTTTAAAATTCAATTCATTAATTAACGCATTAGAAAGATTTTAAACATATATAACGTAATATTAACCAACTTTGAAAACACTTGTGTCATGTTTGTTAGTATCTGAGATAAGAAAAACTTAACATGGTAAAAGATAAGAAAATATAATACGTATATAACAACATCTATCTAAAAAGTGGAGTCATTTTTTCAAATTACAAAGCTACTATGGTCAATCTACCAGCTATAAATGAACGTACAATACTCACTGCCATTCTAGGTATATTAGGTGTAGCTACACTTTTCTGTCTTATTGGTTTAGCCACATCAGGATGGGGAGGGTATGGTGTTTTTAAGTTACCACATTCATCAACAGGATCTTTATGTATCTTTTCACTTATTTTACTTATCGCTTGTGTTATTGTGGGAGCAGTTATTTTATTAAATCTTTATCAACATGAATATTTACCATTAGCATTTGTCTCATTAATGATTATTACGTCAATATTTTTACTTGCATCATTTTCATCATTTATATCAGCGATTAATATAATTTCAATTTATTCATACAATTTGGTAGTAACAGCATTTGCGTTTACATATTTATCATCAATTCTTGCCACTTATTGGTTATTTGGTGCACGTCAAACAACTAGTGCAGCAACACCAGAGCCTGCTAAACAACCAATATAAATATTACTTCTGATGTTTTGAATAAAATGGCTGTTATCAATAATAATTACAGAATATTATTGAGAAAAACATTTTCATATACTTCCTACAAGACTATAATGAATGTGAACATTTTTTTTTTGTTTTTGAAATTTTTTCTAAATAAATAACAAGAAAAAGAAATAGATTGTTTATCGATATTGGTTTATTTTTCATATGATATTATTTATGTATTTATTTTGCATGAGTAGACCCTATTTTTATTATTGATAAAGGATATTATTCATTTACCTGATATCGGTTTCATTAAATTGATGACTAAACGTTCTGTAGACGAGTCTATGAAAAATAGTTCTTCAATGTCAATATATATAAATATGTTTGTAAAAAATAGAAAGCAAAAATCACTCAAGCATATTCTTCTCTTCTGTTTTACCTGTATCATTGATATAGAGACATGACATTTGTTTCCAACCTTCATTATTGGTTAGAGAATAATTTGCTTTGTGATGATGAATATAATATTGTCGAAAAGTATAGTAAACAAAGCAAAATCTTCGAATATTCAAGTATATCATAATCGACAATTTCCATTAAAAGATATTGTTGCTGTTCTTTATCCACTTTTTGGTTCTTTTTATCAGTACGATGAATTCATTGAAATGATTATGACTGTTCATCATATATTTTGTGCATATGATCGATATCAAAAACGTTGCGTTGCTTGTGCATTAGTTAATAATACTCGTAAAGGCAAAGGTCTTTATGTAATGTTATTTGGTGTACGAAAATCCAATCAACAAGGTGGTGTAGGTACACATTTATTGAAATCAGTTGTTCAATGGGCATATCGAGCAGGATATGCATTTATTTATTTACATGTTCATGTTGATAATTATAAAGCTATTGGTTTATATGAAAAAGTTGGTTTTCAGAAACAAGAATATTTAGTTGATTATTATAGTCAACAACCAAAAGAAAATCCCGATGCTTATCGAATGGTATTACAATTAAGATAGTCTATTTAAAATTTCGTAGATAAATGCAAATCAAATGAACTCATTCTTTTATTATTTTTAATAAACAGAAAAGAAAACACAGAAAAGAATAATTGTACTTCTTTTTTTCATTCACTATTTTCTGAGAAATAAAAGAAACATGAATCTAATACATATTAAAGAAAAAGAAAATAACATATCCCCAGTAGAAAAAACGATATTATGGACGGAATATTGAGTTGGACTAAGTTATTATGGCTATATATGTAAATATTTTAAAGTAATTTAGGTAATTTACGTATTTGACTCAAATCGAGTATTTTTGCTTGTGGAGCATGTGGCGTAGGTGGTTGTGTAAAAATTGGTGGTGACGATGGTTGAGGTAATGGTAAAAGCATTCGTTGATGAGGTGGAGATGATGACGAAGTATAAAAATCATTCTCATCTGATGATAAATAACATTGTTGTTGATGATTAACACCCGATAGAATATTATATTTTTGAAAATATTTTTGTGTTGCAAATGACATATTTTTATCAAATACTTGTGGTGATTGTGATATAATACTCGATGGTGTTGATGGTTGTCTATCATAATCATTAGCAATCGCTAATTGATCATCATCAAGATATTTCATTTGTAAACTACGAACTTCAATAGATAGATCTGTTTCCGATTGTTGATTTGATGAAGACATATGATCATTTAAAGGTGTTGCTGATGCTGGAAGAGATGCTGGTAGTGGTGGTACTGGTGGATAGACAGTAGTTGTGCTACTTTGCTGGTTTATAATTTGCATTTGAAGTCCGTTGGAAATGAAACTAATTCCTGTTGTAGTTGTTGATGTAACATGTTGTTGTTGCTGCTGCTGCTGTTGTTGTTGAATAACATTAGCTAAATGTGACATTTTTTCTGCTTGACGACCACTTTCTTCATCAACTGTTTTCATTAATGTTGTATCAAATGATTTCGATGTTGTCGCCAATGGAGAAGTTGGTCTTTGATATTCTTGTTGTAATTGATACTGTGGTTGTTGTTGTTGTTGCTGCTGCTGCTGCTGTTGTCTCTGCTGTTGGCTGGCCATAAATTGAAAAAATGGTTTCAAAATATCAACTGGATTTAGATCTGTAGGAGCTGATGAAGGTGGAGGTGATGTTGTTCGATTAGGTGTACGATGATATGGAATAGGAGTATTATCAATAATTGGTCGTTCACAATCAGCTGATTTTCGAAGAGCTGCATAATTAATAACTGATTCTGGTTGACGAACAATTGGTTGTGGTTGTGGTGGTGGAAGTGGAAGTGGTGATTGAAATTGCATTAAAGAAGATGGCAACTAAACGAAAAGAGTAACAGATATGAGATATCTATAGTATAAATCAACTCACTCGTGAAGTTGTTGTCATAATGGGTGTTTGTTGTTGATATTGTTGAAGTTGTTCAATTTTTGGTGTTGGTGATGGTGGACTATTTCGATTACTTTTAACCATTGATGCTGATTCGCCAACATCATCACTTGTAGAAGGTGATGGTGGTTCACTTTGAACAGCAACATCGCATCTTGTAGATTCTCTTGCTGGTGTGGAAATTGAACGCTGTTGCTGTTGTTGTTGAGCCGCTAAAAGTTGAGCAATAAGAGTATTTAATGATTGAATATGAGCATCATATGCTTGCATTTTTTCAAGTAATTCTTCTTTCCATTGAGTATCAGTAGTAACACTTGATGGTGCAATCGTTGAAGGAGCTGGCGATGAAAATCTTATTGGAGGTGGCGGCAGAGGTGGTGGTGATGGAGCATTTAATGTTGGCATAATCGTAGGTACAGGTGCACTCCATTTTGGTGTTGTCATTGATGTCGTTGAAATTGAATCCCATGCAGGTGATTGATGTGTCGATTGTTTTGGTGGTAAACGAGGAACACCAAATATACTTCCATTTGTGTTTGGTGATGAAAGTGTAGTTTGATGAAGATGTTCTTGATGAATTTTTTGAATTTGATGATGACTGTTATCGTCATCATCATCATCATCATCATCTGAAGGTATTTCTGCTGATAGAAAAGATATATCTGTTGGACGTTGACTATTTATTGTTGATCGAATAGTTTGATGTTGAATTGCTGGTGATATATTTCCTGTATGTGCTCCTATTAAAGCATGCATTTTTGGTCCATCATAAACATGTTTAAATTCAAAATCATATGGTAATTGTGTACTAATACTAGTATCATGTGAATGTGATGTTGGAGGATTTGGCATAATAATTTTTTTTGAACATGTCCATAAATCATAATCAATCATAAATGATGATGTTGTTGAATTTATATTCATTGAACTAACTTCATAAAAATCACATTGACCACGTGATGTTGATGAATAACATGCTAGTAAAAATGATTGTTGTGTTGTATTATTCGTATTTATACCTGTACGAAGACGTTGTTTAAGTGATGAATTCATACAATAACGAAGACATGCTGCCCAAACATATGCACATTGAACATCAACAATACCTGATACCCAACTAAAATAAATAATGAAAATGTTTTTTTTTCTTCTCCTCTTATATTATTAAAAATTCTTACATTCCTACTAATGGTAATGCACATGCTTGTGGATCATTTTCAAGTATTAATAAAATTTTATTTGTTGACATTCGATCTAAACCACAATAACCAAAATGTGGTTGATTCATATAAACAACATTTCCTGTTGATGAACTTATATTTTTTAATAAAGCTGTTGGTAATATTTGAACATAATCAGAATTAATTGGTGTTAATTTAAAACTATTTTTTATAGTTAAAAGATCAAATGATAAATCAGCATTTATCGAAGGAGATAAACGTGATAACATTTGTCCATGAAGAAATGAAAATTGATGTAATTCAATTGGTAAAGATGAATGACAATAAGTATCGATTGTCTTCATTCCTTCTTGTATTAAACTACTGTCTGTATGTATCGTGGTTGAATTTTTATTATCACATCGAATTGGTATAAGAAATTCTCCATGTAATTGTTTATTTGTTAATAATGAATGATGATTATTCATATCATTTCTTGGTGAATCATTTAATTGTATTCGATCAATAACATATGTTAAACGTTGTGTTTCATCATCAGTAATTAATGTTCCAACAAATTGTAATTGAGAACGATATGTTGAACCATGTTGTAAACGTATGGCTGAACGAAATACTTTATCTTCAAGTATTAATTGTGGTGATAATTGTTCACGTTGACATAAACGTAGAAAAATTGATTTACCAATTGGTTTTGAATCCCATAGTGGAGAAATTAATTGAGGAGATGATGATGATGATATGGAATTATTTTCACGTGGAGTTATTGAACGATTTATTTTTCTATCAATTGGCCACAATGAACCAGACGAAGATGATGAAACATTTTCTGATTGTAACATCTTCAAAATAAAAGAAAAAGTCGAAATAAATCTCAATAAAATTTTCATATTCTCTTCTTTTTCTTTGCATAACAAAACCAATACAAATATAATAACAAAATGAAACAACAACAAAAAAAAATATATAAAATCATTAATAAATAAATAAAAAAAAAATCATCTGACTGTTTTCTTGATTTCTATGTATAAATATTTATCTGTATGAATTAGAGATTTTTAGCATGTAATGTTAAATTAACATGATTTGGTCGAAGTTTATGTGTTTGATAAACAGACCAATATTTTCCCCAATATTTATGACTGGAACCAAATGAATGATTTATTTGATTAATTAAATTTAAATTATCATCATCGTCATCAGCATTATTACCTAGCCATATACGTAAACCCGTCATATCAAATTGTTTTAATTTTTTTGTTTGATTTTCAAATATTTTTTCCCATAAATCACCTTTGGAAAAATCTATATCATATGTAAGACCTTCAATACGAAAATAATCTAAATATGGCATTGATGAAAGAAAATATTTTATATCAGATAATGTTAAATCATTAATATCAATTGAAAAAGATGTTAAAGAAGAACAAATTACTGATGATAAATTATGTCGTGGAAGTTGTTGATCACAATTAGTTATATTAAAAAGTGGATATCGACGACGAGATTGTTCAACTTTAATTGTTAGTGAAGTTAAATTTGAACAATGAGATAATAATTGTGGTATATCAGATGAAGCACAAGCATCAAGAGTCAGATGTGTTAATGAAGAAGAAGCTATTTCAGATATAACAAATTCACGATTGAAACGGAGATGCAAAAACTAAAATAAATAGAATAATTAATGTCAATATATATATTATATTTTTCTTACTTTAATTGAATTTGATTTATTTATTAATGTATTCGCTATAAGATTGAGTTCATTCGAACTAATACCTGATCCATCAAACATATCAATATGAAGTCGAACAAGTTTATTTAATGATAAAATATCGGCAAGCATTCGTCTTAATTGATCGAATGTTATTTGTATAAGAGATAATTGACGTAAAGCATGAAAATTTCCTAAACGTAAATGTAAAAGAAATATTTTTATTTGTTCATATAAATTTTGTTCATTTGATAAACGTAATGATATTAATTGTTTTGACATATTAGGTAACATTATTTGACAATGATAAGCAAAATTTAATGGATTTATTAAATGACTTAAATCAAGTGATATTAATAAACGTGAATCATTTATTATACGATTTAAACGTTGATTTAAATTAAAAAATGAATGATAAATATAAACTGGTGGACATAATAAATCAAATATATCCATTAAAATATCATCACTTAAATCTTCAAATTTTGATATAGATATTATTGATGACATTATTTATCTATAAGAGAGAAAAGAAAAGGAAACCATTAAGAACCGAACGATTTTTTACATCATGGCTTTGTTTTTTCTTTTTGAAACAACAAAAAATACACACACGCACACACACATACGTAAACTTTCTCCTGAGATACAACAAATAAATGACAACAATAAGAAAAGAATACAGAGAACTTGTTTGTTTTTTTCACAATCAATTCAAAAGCCTTTTTTTTTGCTTAGTCATTTCTTTAATGCCATTTTATATTTATGGATTAGGTTGATGCATAAAAGGATTTCCACTTGCTGTATTAGCAAATGAAATAAATCCATTATTTGTTATTTGCTATGTATAGATAGATAAATAATAGATTTTTTTCTAAACGAAATATTCATCAATAATTTCAATACTTACACTATTTGTTGAAGGCGATGTTGTTGTTTTATCAAAATGATTCGATGATGATGATGTTGATGATGATGCACATGGTGAAGTAAAACGATGATTATTTCCTGCTGGAAATGCTGTATTCATATTGTGCAATGAATTTCCTGTACAACGTAGAATAAGAAAAAAGAAATTATAATTTTTGTTTGATTTTTAACAAAATAATTTCATTCTATTTCTCTTCTTCTCTTAGTATCGAATATTATTTAAAATAGCAGTGTTAGGATGATATATTTGAAAAACAAAGAGTAAAACTCGAATGATATGAATCGTTTGGAAGAATCTCTCATAACCATGCCCCACCCATAACCATTTTAGTACCATCATAATCGCTATTAGCGTTCATATTATTATTGATATTGCAGTTTTGTGAAAATTGATTTGAATTTGGATAAATTGTTCCAGTAGCCATTGGATTCTGTTCATTCGGTACTCCATTCCAATATTGTTCAGTTGGAGATTCATGATATTGTCCAGGTGGAACTTGTGTTCCTTGATTTGGATATCTAAATAAAAAAACAATTGTATATAAAAATTCAATTATATAATTAATTATTAACAAACCTAAAATATGGATTTTTAAGATCAAGTGTATTCTCAGCAGATATTGTTGTTCCATCAATTTGAAGAAAAATTTCAACATCATAACTTTGTCTATAGAAGAAACAAGAAAAAGAGATTAAGGAAAATTGAAATCATCAATTTTACTTTCTATTTGAATGTAATATTGCATGACCTTTAACAACTTTTCCTTGACTAACTGTAAGTGGTTTTATAAATAAACATCGAACTTGATACCAATGTGTTAAAGGTTGTGTAGGTGCAGTTGATAACCAAACTTGTGTGCTATATAACAAAATAGAATATTTTGCATTAATAAAATCTATTTTGAAAGAAAAACAAAAGAATACCTTGATCCATTAAATGAAACATCAAACCAAAATGCTAAACCATGTATAACAGCTGTTGTTGTCATTTGGAATGATAATGGAATATTTATTTCATGTAAATCTTCTTCATTGGCCGTTAAAAAATTCACTGTATATTTTATTGGTCTTGATAAACAAATTCGTACATCAAAATTATCAACAATTGGTTGTTTAAAATATTCATCTAATGCTGAATCACGTAATGTTGTTAAATCAACACCATAAAATGATTGTTGATACCAAAAATTTGCTTTACCAACTTGTTCCATATATAAACCTTCATCGGTAAATGGTGTTACATAGAGATCACCTTGTGTTGGATACATTTTACCATTTGGTTTAAGAAATTTTTTTGCATGTAAATATGTTTCTAACATACGTTCATTATATAACATATAACCCATTGGTTCAGATATAATTACATCAACTTGTTCTGGTAATGTGATGTCTTCGATTTTACCAGCAATTACTTGAATACGATCACTTAAATTATTATTATCAACAAGAGTCTATAGGATTAAATTTTTTATGAGTATAAGAGATAGATAAGAATGTTTTTTACTTTGGCATGTTGTGCCATGGAACTTGCTTCAACAGCATAGACTTTACGTGCACCTGCTTGAGCAGCGAAAAAAGAAAGTATACCTGAACCGGCACCAACATCAAGTACAACCTACAAATAAAATGAATTTTTGTCAAATACAATATTGATACAAATAGAACTAACTTTTCCAGCAAAATCAATTGAATTATCAAGAATAGCTCGTTGGTACGTTGATGTACGTATATAATCTTGCATCATATTTTGTTGTTGAGATAAATAACCGTAGAACTAAATAAAAATCTATGTATATCATAACAATAGATAATTATTGTGATATATACTTGAAAATATTGTACTGCCGATGATTCTTCTGTACGTTCATCGAATTGACTTGATATATTATCTTCAATACTACGACCGGCTTTTATCGATACAAGAAGTTTCTTGAAACTGGTTGCATCTATTATTAAAATATCAACATGTAGCAATTTAATGGTTGAATTTTTTTCTCTAAAAATCATCTGTAATTTATTCTGACAGTTCTTTTTTCTTGATTAATGAAGAGGAACTCAATCAAATATTTTTATATAAATTAATTAAAAAATAGAGAATATATTTAGATACTTCATCGAATACAAATTCATCTTCTATTCAAGTTAGTAATCATGATTCTAGTACAGTTTTTAGCCTTTCGTTATTTACCTTCTTGATTCGGAAATTTTAACGAATATGAAAGATGTTTCTGTTTTGGTAAACTAATAATAATTCCATTTGAACCTGATCGAATATGTTCAAATGATTCATCTAATGTAATTGTTAATATAATGGATGTACCTAAATCAAAATATAAATGTCTTTCATTTTGTAGAGAACTACAATCTTACCATCTTTAATAACTATAAAATATTTTCTTTGTTGATCTTCTTTTTTTATTTCTAAAATATGTTTTGTTCCTTTTGAACTTTTTATTTGTTGATCATCCAAACATATAACATCGACATCGGAATATTTATGCATTATCTAATGTTTCTTCTATTAATATTTATTTAATAAAATATAATGTTAACAATTTAAAATATCTTGATAAATAAACAGATTGTATTCAATCAATTGGTACATATATATATTATATATATACAGACTAGTTCTTGTGCGTATAAGTCAAGATAGATTTTTTTTTCGTTCAAAAAAAGTAGATTAAATGTTAAAGATGAGTAACTGTTGAGCAGAATTCCTTTCCTATGCTACAATATATGTATATATACACATAAAACTACTTAACCAATTAAAATTTTAAAAAATCCTCTATTTTGAAGAAAATAATGCTAAAGTTATAAATAGAAATAAAATAATTCTTTTCAAAATATAAAATATTAAATTTTTAAATGTCATTTGTCAATGTGAAAATAATAGATGTCAGTACAAAAAAAGTGAAATTCTTTTTAGAGGAAAGGATTGATTAAGTTAAAATATGGTTGAATCTATAAATATTTTTTCCTTCTATTCTTTGTTTATCGGATAGTAAGAGGTAATAACATATTCTTTCGTCATATTTTTTTGCGTAAATATAATTTTCATCCGGTTTTTTTTCAGATCACTAAACATGGATCCCATGTTTCCTGGTGGTCAACCACAATTTATTTTTGTTCCACCTGGTTCTGTACCAGTTCCAATACTTAATCAGGTACCAGTTATGATGCAACCAGCACCATTTCCTGTATTTGTTCAACAACCAACACAACGACCAATGTTACCACCACAAGGATCAATTCCACAACAGCAACAACAACAACAGCATATGTCATCAATGCAAACAGATTATATGACTGATGATCGTTTACAAGAAAAAGCACGTCGTTGGCAACAATTACAAACGAAACGCTATGCTGACAAAAGACGTTTTGGTTTTTCTGATATACAAAAAGAAGATATGCCAGCTGAACATATAAGAAAAATAATTCGTGATCATGGTGATATGACAAATAGAAAATTTCGTCATGATAAACGTGTATATTTGGGTTCTTTAAAATATATGCCACATGCTATATATAAATTACTTGAAAATATGCCTATGCCATGGGAACAAATACGTAATGTTAAAGTTCTTTATCATATAACCGGTGCAATTACATTTGTGAATGAAATACCATGGGTTATTGAACCAGTTTTTATTGCTCAATGGGGTACAATGTGGATTATGATGAGACGTGAGAAACGTGATCGAAGACATTTTAAACGTATGCGTTTTCCACCATTTGATGATGAAGAACCACCATTAGATTATGCCGATAATATTCTTGATGTTGAACCATTAGAAGCTATACAATTACAAATGGATCCAGAAGAAGATAAATCTATTTATGAATGGTTCTATGATCATAAACCATTAACTGATACAAAGTAAGGTTTTGTTTTCTAAAAGATAATATATGAATACCAAAGTCTATAAAGAGAAAAAACATGAGAGATTCAATCCTGTTTATCCACAGCTCATGCATTCATACAGTTACTTAGAAGGTAATTCATGCATTTGGGATTATAGTTTAAATTCTTTTTTTTTCTTCAAATATATGAAATCAGTAGAATGAAATTTGAGTTTATAGGGGACAAAAAAAAGTGATTGTTTACTTTTATTAATTATAGTTTTATGAAAATTTAATTTAATTTTTTCTATTAGAATGGTAAATGGTACAACATACCGTCGTTGGCAATTATCTTTACCTGTTCTTTCTACACTTTATCGTATGGGTAATCAATTATTAACTGATCTTGTTGATGATAATTACTTTTATTTATTTGATCTCAAATCATTTTTTACTGCAAAAGCACTTAATGTTGCTATACCCGGTGGTCCTAAATTTGAACCACTTGTCAAAGATGTTAATCCGAAGTAAATATATATATTTTTTGCTTTTATTTATATTATTTATTAAAATTTAATTTATTTAGTGATGAAGATTGGAATGAATTTAATGATATAAATAAAATAATTATTCGTCAACCAATACGTACAGAATATCGTATTGCATTTCCATATTTATATAATTCTTATCCATTTAAAGTTTATCTTGCATGGTATCATACACCAAATGTTGTATTTATTAAAACTGAAGATCCAGATTTACCAGCTTTCTATTTCGATCCATTAATTAATCCAATAGCTCATCGTCATACAATAAAATCTTTTGATACACAAATTGATATGTTAGATGATGATGAAGAAGAAGAATTTATTTTACCTGAAGAATTTGAACCATTATTAACAGAATTACCATTATATACAGATAATACAGCCAATGGCATTGCATTAATATGGGCACCACGTCCATTTAATCTACGTTCTGGTCGAACACGTCGTGCCATTGATATACCATTAGTTAAAACATGGTATCTTGAACATTGTCCCAGTGAACATCCAGTTAAAGTTCGTGTATCCTATCAAAAATTATTAAAATGTTTTGTTTTAAATGCATTACATCATCGTAAACCTAAACCACAAAAGAAACGTTATCTATTTCGTTCATTTAAATCAACAAAATTTTTTCAATCAACAACACTTGATTGGGTTGAAGTTGGTTTACAAGTATGTCGTCAAGGTTATAATATGTTAAATTTATTGATACATCGTAAAAATTTAAATTATCTTCATTTGGATTATAATTTTAATTTAAAACCAGTTAAAACATTAACAACAAAAGAACGTAAAAAATCACGTTTTGGAAATGCATTTCATTTATGTCGTGAAATTTTACGTTTAACAAAATTAATTGTTGATAGTCATGTACAATATCGTTTAGGTAATGTTGATGCATTTCAATTAGCTGATGGTCTTCAATATGCATTTGCACATGTTGGACAATTAACTGGAATGTATCGTTATAAATATAAACTAATGAGACAAATACGTTTATGTAAAGATTTAAAACATTTAATTTATTATCGTTTTAATACTGGACCTGTTGGTAAAGGACCTGGTTGTGGTATATGGTCACCAGGTTGGCGTATTTGGTTATTTTTTCTACGTGGTGTTACACCATTATTAGAACGTTGGTTAGGAAATTTATTATCACGTCAATTTGAAGGACGTCATTCCAAAGGTATTGCTAAAACAGTTACAAAACAACGTGTAGAATCACATTATGATTTGGAATTACGTGCTGCTGTTATGCATGATATATTAGATATGATGCCTGAAAGTATTAAACAAAATAAAGCAAGAACAATTTTACAACATTTAAGTGAAGCATGGCGTTGTTGGAAAGCAAATATTCCATGGAAAGTACCAGGTTTACCTATACCTATTGAAAATATGATATTACGTTATGTTAAAGCTAAAGCTGATTGGTGGACATCAACAGCACATTATAATCGTGAACGTATAAGACGTGGTGCAACAGTTGATAAAACTGTTTGTAAGAAAAATTTAGGTCGTTTAACACGTCTTTTCTTAAAATCAGAACAAGAACGACAACATAATTATCTCAAAGATGGTCCATATATAACAGCTGAAGAAGCTGTAGCTATTTATACAACTGTTGTACATTGGCTTGAATCTCGACGTTTTTCACCAATACCATTTCCACCATTAGCTTATAAACATGATACAAAATTACTTATATTAGCATTAGAACGTTTAAAAGAAGCATATAGTGTTAAATCAAGATTAAATCAATCACAACGTGAAGAATTAGGTTTAATTGAACAAGCCTATGATAATCCACATGAAGCATTATCACGTATTAAACGTCATCTTCTTACACAACGTGCATTTAAAGAATGTGGTATTGAATTTATGGATTTATATAGTCATTTAATACCTGTTTATGATGTTGAACCATTAGAAAAAATCACTGATGCTTATTTAGATCAATATCTATGGTATGAAGCTGATAAACGTCGACTTTTTCCTGCATGGATTAAACCAGCTGATAGTGAACCACCACCATTACTTGTTTATAAATGGTGTCAAGGTGTTAATAATCTTCAAGATATTTGGGATACAAATGAAGGTGAATGTAATGTTATGCTTGAATCACATTTTGAAAAATTATATGAAAAAATTGATTTAACATTATTAAATCGTTTACTTCGTCTTATTGTTGATCATAATATTGCTGATTATATGACAGCAAAAAATAATATTGTTCTTAATTATAAAGATATGAATCATGTTAATTCCTATGGTATTATTCGTGGTTTACAATTTGCTTCATTTGTTGTACAATATTATGGTCTCGTTCTTGATTTATTAGTATTAGGTTTACAACGTTCGTCGGATATGGCTGGTTTACCACAAACTCCAAATGATTTTTTAACTTTTCAAGAAGTTGCAGTTGAAACAGCACATCCAATTCGTCTCTATTGTCGTTACATTGATCGTATTCATATATTTTTTCGATTTACAGCAGATGAAGCACGTGATTTAATTCAACGTTATTTAACTGAACATCCAGATCCAAATAATGAAAATATTGTTGGTTATAATAATAAAAAATGTTGGCCACGTGATGCACGTATGCGTTTAATGAAACATGATGTTAATTTAGGTCGTGCAGTATTTTGGGATATTAAAAATCGTTTACCACGTTCAGTAACAACTATATTATGGGAAATGAGTTTTGTTTCTGTTTATTCTAAAGATAATCCAAATTTATTATTTAATATGTGTGGTTTTGAATGTCGTATATTACCCAAAATTCGCATGACACATGAAGAATTTGTACATAAAGATGGTGTTTGGAATTTACAAAATGAAACAACAAAAGAACGTACAGCACAATGTTTCTTACGTGTTGATGATGAATCAATGAATCGTTATCATAATCGTGTACGACAAATTTTAATGGCATCAGGTTCAACAACATTTACCAAAATAGTTAATAAATGGAATACAGCATTAATTGGTTTAATGACATATTTTCGTGAAGCTGTTGTTAATACACAAGAATTATTAGATTTACTTGTTAAATGTGAAAATAAAATTCAAACACGTATTAAAATTGGTTTAAATTCAAAAATGCCTTCTCGATTTCCACCTGTTGTTTTTTATACACCAAAAGAATTAGGTGGTTTAGGTATGTTATCAATGGGACATGTTTTAATACCACAATCAGATCTTCGATGGTCAAAACAAACTGATGTTGGAATAACACATTTTCGTTCGGGTATGAGTCATGATGGTGATCAACTTATACCAAATTTATATCGATATATTATGCCATGGGAAGCGGAATTTATTGATTCACAACGTGTTTGGGCTGAATATGCATTGAAACGACAAGAAGCAAATACACAAAATAAACGTTTAACATTAGAAGATCTTGAAGATTCATGGGATAGAGGAATTCCACGTATTAATACATTGTTTCAAAAAGATCGACATGTACTTGCTTATGATAAAGGATGGCGTGTACGAACTGATTTCAAACAATATCAAGTAAGAACTTTCATTAAATAGAAAAAGTATAAGACGTATTTTATATCGTTTAGATTCTCAAACAAAATCCGTTTTGGTGGACACATCAACGGTATGTAAATTAAACTTAGAATTCTATCAAAATATTATTCTTCTCTAATTTTAGACACGATGGAAAATTATGGAATTTAAATAATTATCGTACAGATATGATTCAAGCATTAGGTGGTGTTGAAGGTATTCTTGAACATACGTTATTTAAAGGGTTAGTATTATAGATATTAATTTGTTTATTTACTTCTTTTATTTGTTTTGCTTTGTAGAACATATTTTGCTACATGGGAAGGTTTATTTTGGGAAAAAGCATCTGGTTTTGAAGAATCTATGCGTTGGAAAAAGTTAACTAATGCACAACGTTCAGGTTTAAATCAAATTCCTAATCGTCGTTTTACATTATGGTGGAGTCCAACAAT